ACCGCTCTTACCCGGGCCTGTTGACGCTTCTTTTGATGAGCATTTCCCTTTCTCTAGAAAACATGCCAGTGCTACTACTCCACGGCTTGCCAGATGCAGACATTACCTTACCGCATTCCCCCCAGAACAGACAAGACTTTCTCTCACTTACACAAGGACCAGCTTCCTCATTTGGATGGGCAAATCATTACGCGGAGCATTTCGGCTGCCACGGTTCTCCAACGTGAGAACCCCCAGGCAGCCGGTTACAGCGTGGATTGTTGGAGCCCATTCATGAGTTTCTGGCTCAATGGGTCTGAGGGGACTCAAGAACTTTCACTTCTCACAGGATCCCAAGAGACAATGATGCCTCTGGTTCAAGAACCATACTTCCAGAAGCTTTTTTTTTTTTTTTTTTTTTGTGATGTTTTTTTTATCGGTCATTTAGAGAGACAGAAAGCGAGAAATCACCCCCCAGGGGGGATGGCCACTCCACAATCCCTTCTCCCTCCATTCCCCTCTCGGGATCTTGGGCACACATGCACATGCGCCCGGTGTTGAGTTTAAGCCACCGGGTCCGGGACTCGAACCATAGTCGACTACATGGGAGTGTGGTGACATAGTCATTACGCCAACTGCTGATCCCAGAAGCTCTGTTCTTAAAGTGACCTTTGGTGGCAGGTGTGACTGCTTTGACTTTAAGCACTACATGACTATTTCTTGTTCCATTCAATTTTGTAGTATCTCCTGACTCACCAATTCAAAAGATTACAATATTAAGAGAACTTGTGTGGTTCTACTTTTTAAGCCTCCTTGCGTCTACTGCAAGGTGGTGGTGGGTGGTGGTGTTTAACTTGTATGATGTCTTCTACTCCTTAGTTTACTTTTTTAGGTTTCTGCCATAAGGCACATGTGCTCACCAGAGAGACAGAGAGAGAGAGTGAGAAGGAAAGTGAGAAATCACCCCCTAGAGGGAGTGGCCACACTGCAACCCCCGTCCTCCACTCTCGTGAGATTTGGGGCACACATGCACATGTACCCAGTGTGATTTTCGAGCCACCAGGTCTGGGACTCGAACTGCAGTCAGTCATGTGGGAATCTAGTGCCTTAACCACCATGCCACCTGCTGGTCCCTCTGAATAACTTTTTAAAGGTTGCTTATTTATTTTATGAGAGAGACAGAGACAGAGACGATGATCTCTGTCAGGGTCTGTGACACCGTATCCCTCTCCAGCCTTCCAGCCCGCAGGAGCACAGGCACGCCTGGCATACTCAGTAACACCCAGGAATTGAACCCAGGGGTTTCCTGCACAGTTCCAAACTTGTGTAGTGACCTGCTGCTCACACCGCTTTGGGCTATATTCTCTGGAAACTCTGTTTCCTTCAGAGTTATTCTATTTATTTTGGTCTTTCATTTCCTATACCATATCTCCCCCTGACTCTCAGGTTCCCTTGGTTGTCCATCTGTATTCAAGAATGATATAGAAGGGGCCGGCAGATGGTGTAATGTTCATGTCGCTGGACTCCCATGTAGTTGACGTGATTTGAGTCCCAGACCCCTGTGGCTTAAAACTCATGCCAGGGGCGTATCTATGCATACCCAAGATCCTGAGAAGAGAATGAAGAAGGGATAGCAGTGAGGCCATTTCCCGTGGGGGGTGATTTCTGGCTTTCTGGCTCTCTGAATCTGTCTCTCCAGCAAGTGCACATGCCCTATAGAAAAAATGTCTCTCTTAAAAAAAAAGGAGAGAGGGGAATGAGATAGAAGAGCTCACCTGCAGTGGTGTAGGCTGCTCAGACACTGCTGCTAGAGGCTCAGCCCACAAGGAAGGCCCGGCTTCACTGTGCAGCCCAAGCTCACCAGGCTGGGCACAGTGGCACGCACCTGTGGCCCTAGCTAACTGAACTGGGAGGCTGGGGCAGGTGGATCCTGACATGGTGAAACTCAAAAACACCTACTTCCATCTCTTTTCATTTTCTTCTCTCTCTCTCTTTCATCTCTCATAAAGAGAAAAAATTCATTACTCTATCTTATAAACAAGTAAACTTAAAAAACAAAGAAAAAAGGAGCCAGGTGGTGGTGTAGTGGTTAAGGTGGCTGGACCCTACACGGCCAACGGTATGGTTCAAGTCCTGTGCCCAAGAGCTGGAAAAACACACCGGGCACAGGTGTGTGCATGCCCAAAATCCTAAGAGAAGAATGGCGAAAAGGGACTGAGGTGTGGTCATCCACTCTGGGAAGTGCTTTCTCACTTTCCTTCTCTTTATCTCTGTCTCTCTCTGGTGAGCATACATTCCTTACAGCAAAGTGTTTAAAAAAGAAGAAGGTAGAACATCTGTGGCTATGATGGGCTGGCTCCATAGTGCAGTAGCTAAGTGCGATATACTGGGGGCCAGATCTCATAGGGCCGACCTCAGTATGAATCCCAGCCCCAGTGACTTGAAAAACATGCCAGGCATGTGTGTGTCCGAGCCTCAAATCCTCAAAGGATAAACAAATGAAAAATTCACTATGTGTTTTTCCATTTTTTTAAAAGAATTACTTACTTACTATTCAGCTTGACCGGGGGGACGGATAGTAAGAAAGCAAGCCACCATGTCTAGGATCCGAACCACACCAACCATATAAAAGTCCAGCGCCCTAACCACTACACCACTAGCAAGTCCATTCTTTTATTTTTTTTAAAGAGGTTTTAACTTAGGGCACCTGTGCTTGCTAGAGAGACAGAAGGTGAGAGGCAAAATGATAAATCACCCTCCAGGGGGGATGGCCACACTGCAATCCCTTCTCCTCCATTCTCCTCCTGGGATCCTGGGCACACAGATACACACACCCAGTGTGAGTTTCAAGCCACCGGGTCCAGGACTCAAACCATGGTTGGCCATGCAGGAGTCCAGCGATATAACTGCTATGCCATTTGCTGGCCCTAGCAAGTCTGTGTTTTAAATCGCCCCCCGCCCCCCGGGAGTATTTCCCAGTGGTAGTGTGAATATGAGCGGCAGACACTGTCACTGCCCCTCGCTGTTCTCAGTATAGGCAGGTAATGGTTTACTTCTGCATTCTGCTCCAGGGAGCTGTCCCAACTGAAGGGATCCTCCTTCAATGAGGATCGCAGTCCCCTTCCACCCCACATCCAGCCAATGGCTGACTAACGTGGGGTACCAAAGGCCCGACCTCTTGCTCCAAGGAGAAGACAACCCTTGGTGTAAATTACGCTCCAGGGGCTCCCGGCTATCCTTCAGCTGACCCACCTCCTGTGCAGGCCCTTCCCTTTCGGTCTTCCCAAGAGCTCAGTCCCACTGGACCACGTGCTTCCAAATCCCCATCTCAGCCTCTGCTGTGGGGAAACCTGAGCCAAGATGACATGGGAGAGACTTTGGGGAGAAAGGTGGACAGACGGCTGATGGAAATTTCTCCACTGACTTGAATGCTGGGATGGACCCCCTTGAGCCCAAACACCTCTGTGTATTTCCATTTACACGTCCACCCTGGAAGGTGGGGGCACTGTTCTGCCAGTTTTCCCTGTGCTCAGAGGGCCTGGAGAACTGTGCAGGGGAGGGCTGGTGGGTGGTTCTGCAGCTTCTTCCCCACCCTGCCCAGCCAGGGGTGTGGTTCAGACAAACAACAAAGACAAAAAGTTTTTTCTCCCCTGAGCTTCAGCAGGGTCATGGATCTGAGGTACTTGGCTTTTTCAAAAAAACAAAACAAGGGGCCAGCAGTTAGCGTAATGGCTATGTCGCTGGACTCCCATGTAGTCGACCGCGGTTCGAGTACTGGACCTGGTAGCTTAAACTCACACTGGGTGCGTGTGCATGCCCAAGATCCCAAGAGGAGAATAGAGGAGAAGGGATTGTGGCATGACAATCCCCCTGGGAGGTGATTTCTCGCTTTCTGTCCCTCTGTCCCTGTCTTTCTGGCGAGCACACGCGCCCTATAGCAAAAACCTCTCCAAAAAAAGAAGAAAAAAAAAAAAGATTTAAAAACAGGCTGGGAAGCTGGCCCCATAGCATAGTTGTTACAGTGAGCTGGGTCCCACATGGCCGATCATGGTTTGACTCCCACCTGAGAGGCTTGAAAAACATGCCAGGCCTCTGAGCATGCCCAAAATCCCTATAGAAGGGAAAAACGGAGAAGGGATGGAGGCCTGACCATGGCCCATTCAAAGATGCATTCTCTCTCTTCCTCTGTCTCTGGCAAGCACATGCACTCTCAGGCAATTATAAATAAATAAATAAATAAATAAATAAATAAAAAAAACAGACTGGTGATCATGAACTCCTTGCACGCTTCTTGCATGATACTTGTGCTCCATACTTCTGAGGGGCAGCTGGGCTGGCATAGCTGTGCAGAGAGTCAGTTCCTGGCTCCCTCCTGCCTCCTATCGCCTGCCCTTGACATTGCTCAATGGCTCCTCTCCACAGCAGCACAGCCCCGGATGTGACGAACAGCACATAGGACAGGTCAGCCACCTGCATTCGCCATAGTGCTCTGGCTTCCAGGGACACCTGGCTGGGCATGCTCAACTCAACCACCAACTCGGCAAGCTGCAGTTCTTGCTTGACACCTGACTCACTCCCCACCAGTAAAGGCTCACTGAACACCAGGTGTACCAAACTAAGCTCTCAACACAGGCCGGCTTGTAGCCTGGAGCTTCAGGGAGACAGATCCCACATGAATGACCATGTGGTTTGCATATAGGCCCTGGTGGTTTGAAAAACAAGCTGGGCATATGCGCACGTGTGCCTCAAATCCTGATCCTGAAGGAGAAATGAAGGCGAAGGAACTGTGTCATGACCACGCCACACTGGGGGACACTTTCTCCCTCTCCATCTCCCTCTGTGTTTCTGGTGAATGCACATACCCAACAGCAAAACAAAAACAAAAACAAAAGGCAAGAACAAGCAAATAAAAAGTATCTAGGAACAAGGTCAAGTTCAAGGGCCCTGGGGGAAGTTCATGACTCTGAATGGACTCAGTTTTCCAACAGCATGAGAACAGTCCCAATGGGTTTAAAGGTTTAAATCCCGTGGGAGTTAACCACAACCAGAAGATCCTTTATTTCATCATTTTGCATCAGGAAAGGGGAGGCCCAGAGAGGGCCCTGCCCTGAGCATGATCTTTCAGGCAGCCAGGGCCCACGGGTCTTTCGATTCTAGGCCATTACTCCCGCCATGTGCACCTGACCCCTGGGGTCCCTGTGAGCTGTGAGCTCTATGGTTCTGACCTGATTCTTCTGGGCAATCTTTTGTCCCTTCTTCCAGCGGAGGACGGGTGTCAGCGCTGGCAGCTCCTTCTCCTCCTCTCCGGTCACATGCTCCCCGAGGCTGTAGGCCACCTCAAACACGATGGGGCTGGTGACATCCTGCACCCTCCGCTGAAATAATCAACAAACAGGAGCGTGAACCGCTTGTACCGGCTGACGTCAGGGAGCATTTCACAGTCCACAGAGGCCTTCCTCCTGAGCTGCCTCACGTGACCCTCACAACCGCCCTTGTGAGCTGGGTTTAATACGCGCAAACTGCAGATGGGATCACTGAGGCCTGGGGCAGCTCGTGAAACCTACGGTCTGTTAGCAGGCGGGGCCTTCTTCCCTACCTTGCATGGTGCTCAGGCCTTTTCTCTCAAGCATATGAAAGACATCACTTTACTCATCTTCCAGACAGTCCTAGAAGCCAGGAGGTGGGCAAAAGGGCAACTGCACGCACGGCTAACCCTCTGCATTTGTGGTGGTCTGATGATCAAAGCTTTTTGGCACGGAGATAAATGTGGATTTTGTGTTAGGGCAGGGGACCCGAAGACACTGAGAGGTGAAGTGTCTCCCTAAGTTAGTCATCAATGGAGCCAGGGATGAAGGTCAGACAACGGGCCTTGTGTTCTTTCCTTTGAAACCCAAGGACATCAAGACCCAAGGGGACGGTGGACAGGCAGGGACACTGGGAAAGAGGAAGACAGGAAGGGAACAGCCAGCATGCCTCCCACACCTAGAGACTCCAGGCCCGCACTGGGTGTTCCAGGGAGATGAGCAACACGCCCATACCTAGAAGCCAGGGAGCTCTACGCTATTGCATGGGGAAGAAGAAGGAAGGGTCGAGTTTTCCTAGGCACATGGTTATTGAGGATTCTGGATCATTGCCTGTTACCCCTGGATTCCGGCCTTTCTGCACAGACTGGTACCGCCTCTGGGAGCTCTGGGCTCCCACAGTCTCACAAGTCAGAGTTCAAGGCCAGAGTAAAGCTGGCAGGGACCCTCACATCCTGGTCGGCTCGCTCTACAGGGGGCGGGCTGCTCTGAGGGTTTCCAAGTGGAGAGGGCAAGTCTGAGAGCAGCAGAGGAAAGGGGCACCCATCGCCGATCCCGGCTGCTCTGTGCTGGTCATAGGTAGAGACGGGGAGAGCGCCAGCAGGGAGGTGGAGCAAGACGAGCTGGGCAGGCAGGCAGGAGCCAGCTGCGGGGCCACAGTGCAGAGCCTATGTGACATGGGGGGATCTGCAGAAGGTTAATGCTGTGCTGCAAACAGCAAAAGCTCTAAAGGCCCAGGAGGCACCCAGGGAGGTCAGCTCCCAGCCTCTCGGGAGTCCCCTCCCAGAGGCAAACATGCCTGCCAGTTTGGGGGTGTCTGGGTGTCATCCAGCTAAACGTTCAGGCACGACACCCCTCATCTCACACGGCACTTTGCTTTCTCTGCTGAGGACACAGTCCAGAGGTGCTCTGTGTCCTTTTCCTGGCACACAGCCTGTCACCATACGGATGTCCTCACTGACCAATGTTGGGCTCACAGCAACTTTAACCCCTGCCACACTGTAGCAGGGACTCCAACACGGGTCGATGAGCCTCCGTTTCCTGGGAGGGCACTCAGAGTCTGTGAGGACAGGAGTCAGAGGACACTAAGGGAAACAAACGTGTAGAGGACCTCATTCTGTCTGTCGTGTGTTTTCAGTCGCGTCTCCAAAAAGGCCGTGCTGATCCCAAGCGCACCGGGCCATGGAACACCCACCATGTTTCCTCAGCGCTCCTTGGACAGGGGTGTCAAGTAGCTCACACTCGCAGACACTGGGGGGCAGGTGAGGGAAGGAAATGGTGGGGCCGCAGCCAGGGCGGCCTGGAAGGGGAAGCAGATGTGGCCACGCCGGAGGCTGCTGAGCTGCGAGGCCTGGGCGACAGGGCGCAGGGGCACAGATGACTCTGGGGGTGGAAGCCTGAGTGACTAACAGATGATTTCGATCTGCATGCAGGACAGCATTTAGCCGGTAATAGACTTAACCACTCAGCATGAATAAAACAGGCTCTCTCCGGGGAGCGGTGGGTGATTTTTTGGATCAACTATTCCCAGAAAATCCTCTGGGACTCCAGATTTCAGCAAAGGACCTTTAATATCCACGTCCTTTCCAGGAGTGAAGCACACACTTGGGATCTAGATCTTCTAACCAGATCACTAACCAGAGCTGAAAGACCATCAAGGTGTGGAGAGGGATAAATGAATGTGATCTTAATGCGCTTACACATACATTCTTCTGGGTTCCTCAAAGGCTGAGCATCTTAAAGCTTTGTGTTTAAGTCTTTCATATTGAAATACCTTTCATGTTGAAATAAGTCAGTTATTGGGACCAGCAGTTAACGTAATGGCTATGTCGCTAAACTCCCATGTAGCCGACCGTGGTTCCAGTCCTGGACCCAGTAGCTTAAACTCACGCCGGGCGCGTGTGCGTGCGTGCCCAAGATCCCGAGAGGAGAATGGAGGAGAAGGGATTGCGGCATGGCCATTCCCCCTGGGGGGTGATTTCTCGCTTTCTGTCTCTCTGTCTCTCTCTGTCTTTCTGGCGAGCGCATGCGCCCTATAGCAAAAACCTCTCCAAAAATAAAAAAGTAAAATAAATAAATAAATCAGTTATCATGTTACACTAGTGGGAGAGGGTGACAATGGGGATGGGGAGGCAGAAGTGTCAATAGATTAACATTTCTTGGAGACGGGGCCCAACTCTTCACAAACATTTTCTCACTCAATCCTCACATGACCTGAGCTGGTAGGTTACTACCTCCATTTATAGAGCGGGTGACAGAGGTGCAGAAGTGCAAATAAATTGCCCACCATCCCAAAGCCATCTAAGCGGTAGAACCAGATTCATCCTTAGAACCAGAAGCGAAACTACTTTCCTCGTTGTTCTCACATTACTATTTAAGAATTATTCTGAGCCAACCCTGTGGCTTACTGATTAAGGGAGCCTGATCCCACATGACCAAATGTGGTTAAAATCCAGGCCCTGGAAGCTTGAGAAACATGCTGGGCACACATGCATGTGTGCCCAGAATCCTGTCGGGATGGAGAAATGGAGGGGAAGGCATTGCAGCAGGACCATGCCCCACTAGGGGCGCTCTTTCTCCATCTCTGCCTCTCTCTGTCTCTCTGGTGAGCACATGTGCCTGCTAGCAATGAAAAAAAAAATAATCATACCAATTGCTAATTGAGATCTGAAATCACACTGAAAAAGTATGTGTTTATATAAGAACGTTTAGATCAAGGACAGAAATGTTTCATGCACTACAATGCACGTGAGTAAATGACAAGATATTTGTCATTTACCCGAAGTGAAGGCTGCTTCCGAGGGAGCGGCCATCGAAGTCATGATCGTCTACCTTATTTTGAATGAGTCCTGAGTGGCGACCGGTCAAGGCGTGGACGTTGCTCTCTGGTAAGGATTGCGTGAACCTGAGCTAATGGAACAGTCTGAAAAGCAGCTTCTTACTGCTTGTCTCAGTAACTCTGGGCAGATGGGACCCAGACCACGCTGAGCCGGGGGTGGAGGCAGAGGGGGTGCAGCAATTAGAAACACGCCAACACTGCCAGAAAGGGCAGCCGCTCCTCCCCACGCTGTGCTCACTCTGCTGTTTGATCTGAGCTGCGGAGGGAAAGCAGGAGCTGCACAGCTAGTGGCTGCCTGCGCCGTTTTAGAAGTGCATCTTCCCGGGACCCAGCAGTTAGTGTAATGGCTATGTCGCTGGACTCCCACGTAGTCGACCGCGGTTCGTGTCCCGGACCCGGTGGCTTAAAACTCACGCCGGGCGCGTGTGCGTGCGTGCCCAAGATCCCGAGAGGAGAATGGAGGAGAAGGGATTGCGGCGTGAGCTGCACAGCTAGTGGCTGCCTGCGCCGTTTTGGAAGTGCAGCTTCCCTGAGCTGGGCACTTCAATACGTGGAGGAACATGGTAGGATAGAGAACGCCTTAGGGCTCTGGCGTGATCTGTAATTGCTGCCATTTAACTGCTTGAAAAACAAAACGAACACAGGGCCAGCAGATGGCATAATGGCTATGTTGCTGGACTCCCATGTAGACAACAGCGGTTCAAGTCCTGGACCTGGTGGCTTAAACTCACACTGGGCGCGTGTGCGTGTGTGCCCAAGATCCCGAGGGAATGGAGGAGAAGGGACTGTGGCGTGGCCATCCCCCTGGGGGTATGATTTCTTGCCTTCTGTCTTTCTGGCGAGCTAGCAAAAACCTCTCCCCCAAAACAAACAAACAAAAATCCCACAACTATCACCTCTACAATCCAAAGTGTCTAAATTGAATGAACACTTACTCTGATCAACCAAAAAGCAAGAAGCTATCTTTTCCTCCTAAAACCCAAGAGGAATCTTCTGCCTTTGAAAGGTGAAGGAGTCTCCATGCAGAATACCCGGACTGAAGGCAGGACTGGCAGCGGCTGAGGTTTTATGGGGAACTTAACATGTGCTCCGTTTGAAATTTATTGGGTGCTTACTTTATGCCAGGCAACGCGCGGGGACCCGGGGAAAGAGACATGAAAGACCTTCAGGGAGTAAGTAGTCTTAGGAGAAACCGGGGACCCATGACAGTGCAGGGCAACTACATCGGGACAGGGGAGGCTCTGGGGACACAGAGGGACCCCTGGTTCCAACTGAGAGCTGGCAGGCTTGGCGGAGGAGATACCCCTGAGCCAAATTAAAAGACAGAGGGACATTTGTCAGAGATCAAATGGGGGGCACGGCTGGCCTAGCAGTGTGGAGAGGGTCTGGGAGGATGCCCAGAGGGCTGCATGTGATTCCTGCGGGCCGGAAGGTCAGGCTGGCGGGCAGGAGGCTGGGAAAGGAGGCTCCTGCATTCTCAAGTCTAGGCAGGGCTGGGAGCAGGGTAGCAGGATGCTAGAGGCTGTTATAGACAAGTTCCCCTTGCTGCCTGGTTGGCCAGGGCCAGAGAGCACAGCAAGGGGGCCTTTGGAAGCTGTGTTCTAGAAAGATCCCTCCAGCTTTAGCTTGGAAGTAAACTGAGGTAAGAGTGGGGAGAAGCAGGTTAGGGAAAAAACTGACACATGGTTTAAGGGGAAAAAATGTGAGTTCCTGAGCCAGGATACAGCAGGGCAGA